AATTATGTTAGTGTGTGCATAAACACTCTCCATGCCTCTTTCACTGTGTAGGTTCCCATCCATCACATTGCTCATAAAGAAGAACTTGTTGATTTTTTTTCACAATGTATTATTCTAATACACACCTTTCTGGTATACCTCATACAGCAAAGAACTGTCTGTTGATATACTGTCCCATCCAATTGCTGTCTTCCCCACACTGTCACTCTCAGATCTTTATTTTTATTTAGTTTGTTTTTAACTCACTTTCAATTGGGAAGCCATTGACTCTCCATTTGATCGTGGGTTGAGGTTCTCCTTCCGCTTCACACAACAAGATACCACTGCTTCCTGTGCTGTACACTGCACTCTGAGGTTTCTTTTTCCAGCGTGGAGGCTCTGAAGACAAAACAAAGAGATTTTCAGAAAGTGTCTCTATAGCAAAAGAGCCAACCTTTGTAACAGGGCTGCATTTCCACCATACACCAGCAGAGGGCAGACACCACAAATAGTCCACAGCTGCTCTTTTAGTTTAGTTCAGCAAAGCAAGGTGGGTGTATTAAGGTGTGTGTGTGTGTGTGTGTGTGTGTGTGTGTGTGTTTGTGTGTGTGTGCTTACATTACATTCTGAACATGTAAATAGATTAACATACTAAAAATTCACAGCCGCTTTAGCTCCTCAAGTGTATATTTCACTTACAGAAACAGGCGGAAGGACTAAGCAGATGGTAACTCATTTAGGACTGGCTTAGGACTCGAGCTGCAACAAGGTAGCTGAAAATGGTGATATGAAAGAAATACACTTGGAGAGCTTTCCAAATAACAGTAACATTAAAAAAAACCCTTGTTCCTTGATTATTGACAAGTATTTACATATTTTATCTATATCAATTTCCATAACTTATCAACTTGGAAAACATAATTTGCTAGAGATGTTCTCCTTGCAAAGGAGCAGGGATGGAACCTGATAGGAACATTTGCCTGTTTTTCTTTTGAAACAAACCAGGAGAAACAGAAATAAATGATCTCTATCTTTTGATACATAAACCTTCAGAAGTGTAAATCAGATTGGAGTATCAGAACAAAGCAAGACAAGTGTCTTCAGTTCAAACATTACTGTCATATTTTGTCACTTTCAGAATAGCCCCATGCCAACAGTGAATACAAGACTTGAAGTGTTTATGGATTATTATTATTATTATTGGTGTTTTGCCTGCATGTGTGGCTATGTACCACTTTCTTGGATGCTTGGTGCCCATAGAGGCCAGAAGAAGGTATCAGACCCCTTGGTTGAAATTACAGATGGTTGTCAGCTACCATGTTGATGCTGAGACCTAAATCCGGGACCACTGAAAATGAAGCTAGTGCGCTTAAACACTGAGCCATTGCTCCAGAACTACGTGCAAGGTTGATGGTTATTCTCATAAGTGGCTTAATAAAACTTTGATGTAGTAATTCCCATTGACTTTAGCTTGGTCATTTTCCCCCAAGTACTGTGGATTTCTGCCTTGATTCAAAAAGGAAACTGTTTAAAAATATGCACATGTATAAAAAGAAAATATCTTTCAAATTATTTTAGTAAAGGAAAGAAAGGGGATTTCACGGGGGGGGGGACCCAAATTCCTAAAAAAGAAAACATGCATACAAAGAATTTTGGCAAGTCTATGTGTAAGCAAGAGACATGCCTTTAGAATCTCCTCACAGGATGTGGGCTCAACTATTAATTTCCATGTTAAACATCTGTTTTTAACAAATATATATCTACAAATATTGAGGTATTTAGCATAAAGTACAATGAACTAAATTAGAACTGTAGGTCACTTTCTGAAAGGAAGAGTGCCTTGATAACATTATTATTTTTAAGATTTTTATTTATGTGTAGGGTGTATGGATATTGGTGGATGCCAGTTCAACATGCGTGTTGGAAACCAAACTTAGTTCCTCTGGAAGGGCATCATGAGTTCCTGACCACTGAGAACTCTTTCTAGGCTCTTTCCTTTTATTTTTTCCTGCTCTTTTTATATAACAATAACAAATTTCAACATGTTCAAGATACAGGCAAAGCCTGAGGAACGTGCAAGCCATTGTGTTCATAGTAGAAACTATGACTCTTCCTTTCCAAGTGTGTAAAAAATAAAAATAATGAAAATATTCTTCCATTCCCACTGTACAATAAAAATCAATTTTCTAATCACTAGCCTCATCCTAAGAATTTAATTAACCTTTGTGTGTGTGTGTAAAGATATATTATTGTTAGGATCAAATAAAGAGGTGAGGTATCACCTCATCTAACCTTTGACCTTATGGAAATAATACTGAGCTTTGGAGAATTCATCTAATTTTTTTTCAGGGTCAACAATGAAAGAATCTTAATTTCCTGCTCCTGCCACGTCATAGATCTCAGAACAAAGCCTCTGGGGAAAGCAGAGAGAGGCAAAGCTCTGAAGGCAGGTTCTGATCCACTGCTATCCTACATATATAACTAGGAATCAAGGTCAGTTCAGTGGTCCAGATGAGTCTTTACATTACCAACATGCCCCAACCCCATATCTATCAACTCACTCAGGAGGTTTCAAACATTTGGTAGTTGGTTGGAATCATTACTATACATTAACCTGGCCCATTCTTCATGGGATTTAAAAACACTTCCACATTTCTGTAGAAGTTTCTCTCCTTTTTTCCCTTAAGCTACTGGTTCAAACAGATGTAAACATTGGCATGAAACTTAAGACTTAAATCATCTATGACTGCATGACATCCAGACTAGGCTGAGACTCTCACTGTTGACTTCACTAGTGGAATATTCAATAGTTCAGTACTGATGTCAGCAGTGACTGTCCTCAGACTGGTGACCAGGGCTGAAGCTTGCCGTTTTGTTTCTTCCTGATTTGGCACAATGCCTCGCTAAGAAAAGATATGTAGGGTGAGCTTTTAAGTAGAACTTGATAAATATCTAAAGACTTCGTTGGGAAAGACATAAGAAAAAAAAAAACCCTAAAGTCCCTTAGGTGGAAAATAATCCTTGCTGTCGTCTGGTCATTCACTCTTCCATGACATAGGTTTAATTAACATACTACTACTTGGTTCACAAAAGACATTATTGTCAGCCTGTAGCTTGATTAGAAACTCAGGGTAGCTGAGATTCAAGGCCAGAGGACCAGCAGACGTTTACTGAAACTCAAATCACACACCCGTGGGATGGGTAAGATCTAGTCAAGGCGATGACAGGAGAGACGAAACACAAAGGAAATGATAGGTAAGCCTGACAGTTTGGGGGAAAAAGCCACAGGGTCCCATTCGTTTGTCCACATGCCTGAGATATGTGGTAGCTGACAAAAAGTACACCCAGTTAGTCACGACTGTAAAAAAAAATACAAGATGATACACTCAATTTATGGTATCCAAAATGGAGATGCCAATGCTAGAATTCTGACAAGATTTTTGAGAAAGTAACAATGTTTATCATGAGACCAACAAACAAACAAAACTGGAAACTTGATATCTGTGAAACAAGTAACATAGTAGACATTTTCTTAGTAAAACTTTTAATCACAATTGTCTACTTGATATTTATATTCTTGATTTTCGTGGGACAATGTCTTGTGTATACCAAGTAGGCCTCTGTTTGCTAAGGATGACCTTTAGTTGTTGATTCTCTTGCCTCTACATCCCAGGTACTGGGAACATAGGGGTGCACCACCAGCCCCAATTTATGCATGCTCGGGATTGAACCAAGGGCTTTGTGTATGTTAGGTAAGCATTCAACCAACTTCTTATGAAAGAAAATTGTTAATTCAAAATAAGCTATTGTTCATGATATCAATGACTGGACTGAGTTTCAGTTCATGGCATCATATAGACATTGCAGGGCACTTTGGATAGAATTAAGGATTGAACAGATGTGCAAAAATGATTCATGTTATATTTCTAAAATTCAACAGTCTCAAACGATTCCATAGTGGGCAACATCATGTCATGTGACATTCCTATGTATCTTTTTCTTTATTATTATTATTTGAGTGTGTGTCCACACCACAGTGTACCTGTGACAGACAGCTGTAGAGAGTCAATTCTCTCCTTTCATCTTTTTGTACCATCCTGAGACATAATTCAGGTTTGCTGCAATCCTCTTTACTCACTGGGCCATCTCACTGGCCCTTATTACACCTATTGCTACTGCATATGCCATAATCCATATTGTAGGTTCCCAGAAAATATGGTGACATCTAATTAGGACATCACAGCTGTTTTTCTCATGCAAAAGAAGGCATTTGACTTGCAATCTGGTTACATATTTAGACTGCTGTAGTTTAAAGTACAAGCACACAGAATTTGAGTTTCAGACTAGGGAAGAAAATCACAAACAGAAAAGAAAAACTATGCTTCTGATAGCCACACAAGACATGGTCAAAATGGGCTGGAGCCTCAAAGTAGACGGTAGTACTGCTTCCCCCCAGATGACAGTCCTGATTTAATTTGGGTTTCTAAATAAAAGAATGAAAAGAAAGAGGCAGAGAAAAGAGACAAAAGAAAATATAATAAAGGTGAACTTGTCTCTCTTGATGATTCGTGTACATTATAGTTACTGTTTTCTTGCTTTAGGGCAGAAAGTACTTCTAGAACATTCTTCTTGAAGATAGTTCACTGTTCCCATGCAGGTGTAAAGAGAAGCTGAAACAGGCGTCTGAGTGTACATTTAGTATTTTCACACAAAAGCATAATGATTCAATATTCTTCATAAAAACAATATTTACATCTCAGCATCACTAATAACTGCTTTTAAAATAGTGAAGATAATTTGTTCAAGAACCATATATATATAGTCAACCTTTTAAGTTGTATAATTAATTTTGCTTGTATGATATTTTTTGCAACATTTGCAATTCTTTTGAAAGCTTTGGTCTTAATAGTCAAGAAAACTGAGGCCAGATTGTTAAAATATTCAGCTACCGTAGCAACGCAGCAGCCATCTGGAAGGATTTCTAACAGTCAGCAACTCAGAGTAGAGCAGCTAATAATTATGTATGTCTGGTTTGAGAGAGAGAGAGAGAGAGAGAGAGAGAGAGAGAGAGAGAGAACCATAGAAGGACTAGGGGCTAGGGAATAGCCCCATTACAAGATATCACCACATTATATACAGTGTCATTGTATATACAGTGCCAAAAAATCTTTAAATTTATGGGCATGTTTTCATACTTTTGCTGAGTATCTTTCTGAATAAATTGTTGTCAGAGACATCTATTATTGTAGACAGAGGTTGATGTTAATGTTTAACTCTAAGTTCTCTCCTATACAGGTTTTGCTCCGTTGTACCAAAAATAAATAAATAATTTCCTTTTTTATTATTTTTATTTTTCTCTTCTCACCTTGACTAAAAAAAAACAGTATAGGTGTTAGCAAATTGTGTTAGTCCAAACAGATGCATGACTCGGTCAATGATTGTAAGATTTGCTTGTGAGTGGAATCTGTGCTTAGTCTCTTTTCTTTTCCAGCAATTAGAGGGGAAAAGACCATTAGTGACGTGCTCCTTGAACTTTAAAACGAAGCTTTAAAGGGTGAACTTTATCAGAACATTAATGGAAACCTGGAAGCCCCAGTTCACAAACGGATAGCCTGACAGAGATGATTTTCTTTCGTACGTAAGCCAACACAGCACTAAATAAGTACAAAATTACAATGTCGCGTCTACTCCATTCCTCTGATCAATTCAGTTCAGGAAACCACAGAGGGAAACCCTAGGTGTGACCCCCACCCACGGGAAGCAGTCAGTGTTAATCAAATCACAGCAGGATCATGCAGCCTCTGCTCCTGCACCACAGGCAGGCCTGGATTTTTAATTTCTATGGCTGCTACTTCATGAGAATGATGTCATCATCCACTACTTATTCTTAATTACAACAAATAACAGAAAATCTCAATTATTCAATAAATAGTTCAGTTATTTATGTACAGAAGATGAAAGCAATGCATTTTGGTACTATTTGATAAACAATTAATATTTGCACTGAATGGTCTCTTTATATTTCTCTGGAAGTGATATACTGAATACTAGGGTACACAGTGTAAAATGCTGGAATAAGGATAACTCAAAGACAATTCATCTACAGCCACCATTTCTTTGACAAAGAACCTAAGGAATAGAGAAAGAGAGCTCATTGATCATGGGCAAGGGGGCTGAGTGACAAGATTAGGAAGCAGTCCAAATCACCTTCCAGGGTCCTTTCTATAATATTTGACTTCATGATCATGACCTCATTTATGAGCATCATGTGCAGATTATAATAAAAATTATTCCATGCAATAAAAACTTACAAAAGGGTAGATTTAATGACCGTTTAAACAGACCGTGGAAGTAATGTATGTTCAGCCCCTAACATTAGCTCTCTACTTAACATTTGTGCCTTCCATACGGTTTGTAGAGATAAATTATAAGCCTGATTAATTAAGTATAGCGATACTCAGTGCCCACACTACAACTAAAACCCTAAACTAATGATCAACTTTAACCCATAAACTGTTGAGGGAAAGGTCTGTGAATTGTGTACACTTATTCATCTCTTCGAAGCAGAAATTTAAATCTTAATGGAGAACATACCTTGTACTATGATATGAAAATCATGACTGGCTTTCCCCAAGAAGTTGTTAGCTATACAGCGATAATTTCCTTTGTCGTGGTAGGAGATGTTTTCTATCTTCAAAGTCTTTCCATAATTTTCTTTTGTTTCTCTTCCCTTTGGTAATTCGCTACCCAGTTTGCTCCACTCAACCTGTGGAGTTGGTCTGCAAGAAGTAAAATAAATGCACAGATAAGTAAATACCAACTACAAACAATTCCTCAGTTGACTTACATAGTCACTGTGTCTTATCAGCTTCACTAGAGGACGCACCAATATGGGAAGCAGGGCGTTTAACAGGCATGTTTCATCAGAAGCTCCCTTAGTGGACGACTCCCTAGCAATCTCATCCCTGCTCTTAAGTGAGCTAACTCCACCTGAGTGCTGAATCAATGAAGCTGGATATGAAACGAATAACTGAAGACACTTCTCAAGTGTGACATTCTCCTTATGGTCGGGCATCAAGAGATTCCCCTTCCCTGTGTTTCTCTCAACAACATGGCACAGTAGTCTCCAACAGCCAGTAAAGGAAAACCACAATTTCCCCTTGAATCCTAATGAAGCCGATTTTGGCTAAAGTGGTTGGGAGTGGAGCCAAATGTGTGGGCTGGATGGAGGAGCAGTTCTTTCATTCTTGGCAGCTTGGAGGGAACAGCACAGACCTTGCTTTCCTGTTCTGAGGGGAACAGAGGGAAGGAGACAAGAACTCGGAATCTCCCTAATTCAGAAGCATTGGGGAGATAAGAACAGTAGATCAAAACAAACACAAGCCAAACAAAAGACAGGGATAACCTTGTCACATGCCAACACCTTTCTCTCTCTTACAATGAAGGGAAACAGGAGCACGGACCAAGCCAAGCAGTTTGTGGATTGATCTCTTCTAAAAATAAAGGATGGAAAAGTGACATTCTGTGAGACCTTGACTTTAAAATGTCACTGATAACCAAATATAAGTGGGCACAACTTTGTTTTCTCCTTCTACAAGATTGGAAAACACCTAATTCTATTATTTGCCTTATTTCTGGTTACTAGCTACTACTCTGAGAACTCTCTAAGTGTGAACTGTCTTACTTCTATCATTTTACCAGCATCAAAGAGAAGCTCCAAAAAGCTAAGCAACTAACATTTATCAGATTCAAAGCTTACATTTTTCTTAATTATTTCTATTTGATATCTGTTTTTCAAAGAAATTCATCCTTCTTAACATATGTTTGTAGGCACCAAATAAATAATAATTTCCAAGATTTATTTATTATTATCTTATGCTTCTGTTTTGTCTGCATGTATGTATGTGCATTACATACACATCTGGTGACCATGGGAGCCAGTAGAGGGCATTAGATCTAGTAGACCTGGAACTACAGAAGATTGTGAATGACCATGTGAATCCTGGGAATTTAATCAGGTTATTGGTAAGAATAGCCAGTGATCTTAACTACTTAACTATATCTCTAACTCCAATAATTATTGTTTCAAATTATTTCAGTTATTTAAAATTACTGTTCACAAAGAAAATGGATACAATAACTCAATTATTAGAAACACTACATTGGAGGTAAAGATGGTGTTCTTTCTACAAACATCTGGTATTTTCTCTCAAGGCCAAAGAAATTAACCTCACAGACTTGAAACAACAACTCACTTTTTGACCACATACATAGCACATGGCAGATTTCCTCAGGAAATGGTCATTGCAGACAGATAGATACATGTGGGAGTCTATTGGTTAGCTGTTAAATTCTACAGATCATGCCACCAAGCAGTACTCAGAGTTTCCTACCTGCTTGCTTTTTATACCATCTGTCAAAATGGCAATGTGCCAAGTGACAGACTGCCCTAGACCACAGTTCCTCCCAAACAAATTTTCATGAGTCTATGTTTTAGCAATGCAGGATCTCATTTTTTCTCAAATTCTTCCTTTACTTTTGTTCTTGAAAACAATCACCTCTCTAACACTTTTCACGTCACACAATCAAATGAAATGATTTTAAATCAGAGCAAAATGATGTTACAAGTAGGCGTGGTTTATACAGCTAGAATTCCTGTTTTCTTCTGGAAAATTCTGGATTTTTTTTTTTTTTTGTTGGCTTGCTTTATTTTTAAAGAACATTTGCTGACAGAATCAGAACAAGGATAGGTTGAGGGAAAAGTGTTGTTTAATACTTTTTTGGCACACCACCATACATTATTTCATAACTTTAAATATTTATGCCAGTTCTTATGTGGGCAACTTTTCTTCTGATTCTTGATTAAACATGTAGGAGACACAGATATCATATGTGTTTTAAATTCATGAGGAGTCTGCTTTTATTTCATACAGTGTGAATGTGAATTATTAAAACAGCAAGTTCTCCCCACTGATACTAAGCTGTGAACACCGTCTTCTCCTAATAAGAGTCAAAATATAATTTAACAATTCCCCAACTCCAGGGATCCATAAACTCTAAGCTTTCCAAAATGTGTATGTCTCTGAAAGTTTCCCTGATATTGATTTAATATCAATATTTGGTATGGTGTATGTGTGTGTGTGTGTGTGTGATGCATGTGCCACAATGGTTAGAGATTTGTACTTTTGTTACTCTCAAATGCATGTGATGTTAAACTTCCTTGAGATATATATGATATCCTTCAAAAACTTTTTGATAGTATTATCTTTATTCAGAAGATCAAACAGAATGAATAGCCCAACTCAAACCAGTGAAGAGGGGAAGATTCCCTTCCTATGACCGAGTATCAGGGATCTTCAGGTTGCAAAGGCAAACAACTCTTAAAATATCCATGTTCTTTTCCTGTGTGCATTTCCAACACTCCAGTCTCTACAAGGCACCCAGGAGTAATGTTTCTGTGAGTGGAGGATGAGCTGAACAGACGCCAAATACCTCAGGAAGCAAATGATAGCTTGGCAGGAGATGAGGGGTATGAGTCTCTACAGCTTTGCCTGACTCTGAGTTAGCCTGAACCGTGACAAAGCCTGAAAGCATTTAATTTCTACCACACCAAATGCATGCTGGCACCAGGTGGTTAGCCACAAGTTACAGCAGATGGGAAGGCTTTGACCTTCTCACAGAGCAGGGCCAGAGAGAGGCTTAGCAGGTAGGAGCACTCCTGTCCTGGCAGATGACCTGGCTTGAATTCCCAGCATCCATGTAGTGGTTCACCACCTCTGAAACACCACTACTGTCTTTTCTTTCCTCTCTGGGCACTGGACACATGTAGTGCACAGACAGACTTGCAGTCAAAATACTCATGCAAATAAAATTAAAATAATCCTTAAAAAGCCACACAGACACCAAACTTTTTCCATAGAGGTCATATGACAACATATTAAAATATCTATCAGTCAACATTGGGGACTTAAGGCTTGTAAGTAACCTGGTAGGAAAGAAGAATGTGCAAAGTCTGTAGAAGTTGTACAATAATTAAAATAGTTCCTTTTGCTTCACAATCTAACTTGAAACAAGCCATTCAGACTTTACCCTGAATTATGAACAAAGGTGGATTTTAGTTTTTGCTTTTACTTTCAATAACTAATTAATGTAACATAATTTAATATATCTCAAATCCTATCTGATTAAAGAGACTTTCATTACTTGAAAATTGATTTGAATTTCAAATTAATAAACTGAAAGATGAAATGCCTTCCTCTACAGCATTCATAATGGGAGACTTTTAAATCAGCGGGAATACTTGTAGAAACAGGCAAACTCGTATGACCATGGCACCAATCACATAAGTGTACAATTGTTGCTCAGCTCAGGCAACAATTTTAGGAGATGACAACATGTCAACCCTTAGGACTTTGGTAGAAGACCTGATACAGGGCTCTGATCTTGGAAATATGAGGAAGTCAACCAGTTTTTGATGTGCTATTCCCCTAACTTTAGTGGTCTGGACCTGCTTTTGCACAAAACACAAAAGGGGAAATAAAATTAGAGGACTTTGGAAATTAAAAAAAAGAGAGTAGTGTAATGGTCTGGCAGAAATAAAAGAGATTCTAATAAGACTTTCAAACCAATGAATCAATGGACCTCAAAGAAATGGGAATTCCTCCAGGAATCTCATGCTGGGAGAAGGAAAAGAGGCTGGCCAGAGGAGGAACTTCTCTCTCTTGGAAGACTCACAGTACTAACAACTTGCTGTAACACATTACAGGATGAGATTGATGTTCAGACAACGAATGATGAGTCAGTGGTATGTGGGACCACACCTTGCTGGGATTTCTTCAATGTGCACATCCTTAGAACTCCATTTGAACTTGAGTATCACTTCAGGATTGGAAGACAGACCCAAGAGGGGTCTTCAGATCCCTTTTCCTTTCTTCAAAATATGAGCACACTGAAGAATTCTTTTCTGTTTTCCTCTATAAATTTAACTCTTATAATGGGCTTATTGAGGATAAGTAGCTAGACCTGGCTTAGCGCACAGGTTGTGACCCCTCCCCAAGTACTGTAACAGTGGAGCTAGCCCCTGAAAACCAAAGTCTGGCAAGAGAATAGAGACAACAGAAAATACAGGATTTAAGGGCTTAAGGGCAGATGGGGTGACTACTAATACACATACTCTAAGGACAGCAATAGAGCATCTACTTCATGAACTGTTTTTTTGATCCCTGCATCCCATCAAAAAAAAAAAAGGTACTTATAAGTCAATTTCAGTTGTAGCCTGAAGTTTGTATAAGGAAGCAAAAATTTGTTTCCCCAAAGAAACAAAAACAGGGTTTATATTTTTAAAAGTAGTAACTTAAGAACAGGCATGCAGCAAAGGTCTTTGTTTTGCAGTCTTTAAAACGCTATATGGAAGAGGGCTGGCAGAGGTCGTACTCACAGGCCTTCTGCAAAACACTCAAGCAACAGGGTATCCCCTTTGAGGACAGTCATTGTGGATGAACTGCCACTCTGAGCAGGAGGCAACAGAAGTTTGGGTTTCCTTTGTTTGATTGAATTTGCTGGAAAAGAAAAAAAAAAAAGAAGAGTCAATTCTCTCTATAATAAATGTAGTAAAATTCTATGTTTCTAGTTTGTTCTTAAAGCATGACTTCACATTGTTTTACATGTACATATTGGTGTGCTTCTTCTTAAATACATTCTCTCATCCAAAAAGTATCCAAGTAAGCATGTGTCTCTCAATTTCTTTACCAAATTTTAAAATCTTCACAAGGTATACTACATGTTTCTGTTCAGAAATTGAATACTTATTCAAGACAATTTCTTGAAGACACCCTCAAGCTAATTATAAGTCTGACCATACCTTGCCATTTTGATGATTATGTATGTCTATTGAATTTCATATTCTAAGTACTAGAATTGCAAAAAAAAAAAAAAAAAAAAAAAAAAAAAAAAAAAAAAAAAAAAAAAAAAAAAAAAAAAAAAAACAAACCAGCTTCCTGAACTCAGACTGAGGAAACTGGAAACTTGACTTGAGTAGACACCAAGCATCAACAAAGCAACAAAGTTTTATTTAGCTCTTTAGGAAATTCCTTCCAGTCTCAGATCCTCAAGGATACATACTGTTTTAAGAAATAAATCATTGTAAGTCTATCCACAAAGTAGAGTTTAGAAAGTTTCATTTCTTTTTTCTTAGTAATTTTAAAATATAAAAGTAAATTTCCCAGCTTGTTCCTTGGGCAGCTGAGGAGAGGGAGTCTGAAATGGCCCTTTCCTACAGCCATACTGATGAATATCTTGCATATCACCACAGAAGCTTCATCTGGCGATGGATGGAGATAGAGACAGAGACCCACACTGGAGCACCAGACTGAGCTCCCAATGTCCCAAAGGAGGAGCAGAAGAAGGGAAAATATGAGCAAAGAAGTCAGGACCACGAGGGGTGCACCCCCCATATATATATATATATATATATATATATATATATATATATATATATCCCTTTGCTAAATTCTAAAGCACAGTGGACTACAGAACTTTCTGTACTAAAGAGTTACTTTATAGAAATATTAGCATTGCTTCTAGAAAACTCTTTGAGTAAATAATGAAAAAATTCAAACTGAAATGACAATGAGTAACTAAAGGCAAAAATAAAAGCACAAATGCTTCACATGAATGACTTACCCTTGGAACTAATTTCTGTGGATGAACTTGAATCATTAGCATGCTTTACTGAAATAAAAAAAATGGAAGAAACTAATACAAACAGAATGTTCGATGCTGACATTAATAAAGTATGAAAAGTCAAAGTCATGCATTTATTTAGGGAAAATTATGAAATGAAGTACAGCTATGCCCATATGCATACTGTCTATGGAAATACACATATATACATTATATATGTACATACACACATATATACACATGTATGTTTGTGTATTTATGGAGCTTAAACTTGAAGTTGTGAAGAGACAAGTGTTAATTCTACCACAGAGACTTCAGGCTACTGAAAAGCATCACAGAGAAGAGCCCACATATCATATATACATAAGATAATGGAATAATCTTGGACCAAATTAGACAATGAAGTGGTCATGCCAACCTTCGGCTCCTCCAGAGCCAATTATTCAGCCAGGAAGCTGCAGGGATTATTCTCTGCCTTTGAATCTTACCACTTCATCTCTCACTAATTACTTCTCCCCTTTTGGGAACTCGGACAGGCATTTGCAGATCCAAGTAGGAAACAGAAAATCAATTCAGATAACTTTGTCAATTTGAGAAGGACAAAGAAAAAGCTTGATGAGATAAGAAATATAAATGGTGATTTTCTTTTGACTCATTTTTTTGTCTCCTTCATTTTCAGCCTGCTGATTTATCCAAGGTCACAGTGAGCCCATGCCTGAGATGTGCTTTATGCTCACTGAAAATGAGTAGATCCTGCAGACATCAAATGAAACACATTTGTACTGTGAATTGAGATTTGATTTTCTGGCTGCCAGAGACAGAGCTACTGTGGATTTTCAGCTGCAGATGTTCTGATCATCTGTATGAAGTCTCTGGAGTTAAACGAAACAATGATGGAGAATACAGACCCTGCTTTAAATGTCTTCGGAGAGAAGAGTGAAATCATGTACATATTTGCATTCAGCACAAGTAAAGGAAGAATAAATTATTCAGGACTTACAACTGTTCACAGTTAGTTTCATTGGCATTTTTTGTACAATCGTCCTTAATTTTGGAAATGCAGCAAAGCAACAGTAATCATTTCGACTGTCTTTTTCTTCCACGTTTGCAAAATACAGATCTCCCTTTTGGCTCATGTATACTCTTTCATCTTGTTCAATGTGTTCCAATTCTGCAAGAAAAAAAAATAAAACCTTGCCACTGAAATGGGCTGCCCCTCCTCACAATGTGCATTAGACATTTACATTTTTATTTTCTTTCATACGATTTATATGTGGCTGTGATGTCCTTTGTCTGTTCTTCCTATTTTTCTGCAGTTTGGTCTTAATAAAAGAGCAGTGAGCAGGCAAACAGATAAAAATAGGTAACAATAAAATCTTTGGAAGGTCGAGAATCTCACAGAAACACCAGCAGTCTGAGTGTTCCCTCGCTCATTACCAATTGGTCTTTAACTTTGCTATGCATATCTGAAAACTGTTCAGTTCTAATAACAATAAATTATTACTTTTGTTTTATCTGGATGGCACTTCTCTGAAAAGTGATGTTTCAGCCATCAATCACTGCACTGGGGTGCAGCTGTGTACTTCTAGGGTGAGTGAAGGCTACAAATCTCGGCTGCAGCCAAGTGTAGCTTCACTTACTCTCCTCTGGCTGCTCTATAAATATGATTTTCCTATGTAACATCAACACTCAGAAGGCCATTAGAAAGCATAGGGCATAACAGTCTTTGTAAGAAGAGGGAAGCTTCAGGAACCACTGAAGCATTTTGAAAGATTGGACACAGGATGATACTGAATGTTTTGTAGGTCATTGATTTTATCAGGTAGAACTAAGTTAAAACTGTCATACTAACAAGCAACTACCCCAAGTCACTTCAACTCTGACCTTGCCTGTGTTCCAAAGATAAGGACTTTGGAAGGAAGTTTTGTCACAGGACTGCCCTATCCTATGAATATCCCCCCACCCCTTTCAAATACTGTAAATCAAGGGACGCAATGATTTTCTAGTGTCTTCACATATACATTCCAGTTTATACTCAGGAGAAAGGGTAAAATTTCAAAAGTATCTAATTTTGAATGATTTCTTTCATTGGTTTTGTTACATATGATTACTTACGCAGTGCATGGAACTAAAGTGACCCAGATTGATGGAACAGAACACTACTTACCAATATTCATCCAATAGATGTGCAAAGGTGGGAGGCCTTTGGGAGGGTTACAGGGTAGGACAATGGAATCCCCTTCTTCCACGTCCATGGGTTCAATTTTTTCTTTGGGAAATTTTGGAACACCTGATAAATGGATAACCATGAGACATGAGACATTCATTTTTAATGTAACAATATTTTCTATTATTAATCCCCAATAACATTCCTCTTGTCATAGAAAAATGAGCAACTAAGAAATTCAGCATCTCATTTCCTTGTTCTCATATTATGGATAAGGCAAGATAAGGCTGCCCCCTGTCCTGACACCAGACCTTTTCTCTTTCTATTCCTCCAATTCTAATTCCCCAGTCTCACCCTCAGCTCTACCAGAACCAAATATACTGCAGAGCACCTTTGTCAGCCTTGCCCACTCTCATCTCCCAAATTATCCACAGATCTTTCCCTTTACATTTTTTTCCTCCACCCTCCAACTCCTACCTTGTTTCCAGACCTAAAACCCACCAGGTATGCCCTGCTAATCCAAGGGCTACCCCATCTAAGGCAATAAGTAAGCAGAAGGCAGACACACAATTCTTTTACTGCTCCTGAGATTCAACACACATCTGAGCTTCATTACAAACTCTGCAGCTGACAATCTGATTAGGTCTTCCTTTTCCTCTCTGAACCCATTCCTAAGAAATCACAGAGACCTTTTCTTCCAACCTTTCTTTCCCAAATTCGTCTCAGTGTCCCACCCTCCAACATCAGCAGACATTCCCTGCAAAAACACCACCTGAGCAGGCCAGAAAAACAGGTGACACACAACCATCACACTCTCGGAAAAATCAAAGGAGGAAACAGAAACCAAGAAACAAAATAACTCAACAAAGACAAATCCAGATATCACCAGCTAGACCTATAATCATACCGAATATAGATGTGCAGACACCAATATTAAACACAGTAACAATCAGGGCGATAGGTCTCTACTAGAGTTCAGCTATCTTACCACAGCAGGCCCAGAATATGCCAATATAGCTGAAACACAAGAAAAAAGAACCTAAAACTAAGTTTATAAAGGTAATAGAGGTTGGCTGCGGGAGCTCCTTCCACTCCTTCAGCCAACAGCCTAATGGGGAGTGGTCTCCTACACTTTAAAAAGCAGCAGGAACCGGGCTCTCTCTCTCTCTCTTGCTTCTGGCTTCCTTTCTGGGGTCTAGACTCTCTGTTTCCTGTTTGGGATGGTGATCTGTAAGTTTTTTCCCTTAAATAAATAACCCCTTTTATTATCCATAATTCTTAACTGGTGTAGGATTGTTTTGTGGCTTCAGAGGTCCTTAAAGAGGAAATTAATAATTACCTTAAAGAAACCCAGAAAAGCACAAACAAACCATGTGAAAAAATAAATAAATCAATCCTCAAAGAGTGCCAGGGAAACACAGAGAAAAAAAATGTAGGAAATGAATAATTCACTTAAAGAAACCCAACAAAACAAAAACAAAGAGTTGAAAGAAATGAATAAAACTCTTCAAGACCTGAAAATGAAAATAGAATTAATAAAGAAAACACAAATAAAGAGAATCCTGGAAATTAAAAATTTAGAAATTTGAATGGAAGCTACAGGGGAAAGCTTCACCAACAGCATACAAGAGACAGAAGAGATACTCTTCTGGCCCTGAAGATACAACAGAAGAAATGGATACATCAGTCAAGGAAAATGTTAAGTCTAAAAAACTCTTGACACAAAGTATTAAAATCTGAGACATCATGAAAAGACCAAATCTAAGAATATTAGGAATAGAGGATATGAAAAATTCCAGTTCAGAAGTCCAGAAAACATTTTCAACAAAATCATAAAAGAAATTTCCCTAACCTAAAGAATGACATGCCTGTAAAGGTATAAGAAGCAAACAGAACACCAAATAGCTTGGACAAGAAAAGAAAGTATCTTCAGCACATAATAATCAAAACACCAAACATACAGAACAAAGAAAGAAGACTAAAAGCTGCAAGGGGAAAAGACCAAATAACATATAAAGGCAGACCTATTAGAATTTCACCTGACTTCTCAATGGAAACTCTAAAAGCCAGAAAAACCTGGAAAAAAACATTTTGCAGTCTCTGAGAAACTACAGATGTCAGCCCAGATATACTAAACGCAGCAAAACTTTCAACCAACATCAATGAAGAAAATAAGATGATCTATGCTGTAGCTAAATTTAAGCACAGTCTTTTCACAAATCTAGCCCAAAAGAAGGTGGTAGAAGCAAAACTTTACTCTAAAAGGCTAACTACATCCATGACAACACAGGAAATACATAATATCTCACACCAGCAAGATAAAAAGAAAGGAAACACACACATATATCACCACCACCACCACCATCACCCTCTCTTAGTATCAATGATCTCAATTCTGAGGGTCCCTGGCAGTAGAACCAGGATCTATCCCTGTTGCATAAGCTAGCCTATTGGAGCCCATTCCCTCTGAGTGGGGTGCCATACTCAGACTTAATGCGGGGGAATGGGCTTGGTCCTGCCCAACTTAATGAGCCAGACTTTGTTCATTCCCCATTGGAAGCCCCTGCATGTTGGGAGGAGTGGATGGGGATTTGTTGTGGGGGGAGGTAGGAGGGGGCAGGAGGAGAAATGGGAAGGAGAACTGTGGTTGGAATGTAAAATAAGTTTAAAGAATTAATTCATTAATATAAAAAAGGACTGAAAAGAAAAGACAAAAAAGCATTGAATGGTTGTGAAAACGTGATCCATCTTGCTGCATCCTAGAAATATAACTCAACTTGAAGAATAAACATAACTGCAGAATAAGGGTTGGAAAAATATTCTAAGTGAATGGACCTAAGAATCAAGCTGGTGTAGTCATTTCAAAGTCTAACATTATAAACATCAAAACAAAATTAATCAAAAGAGATAGGAGAAGACATTACATTCTCATCAAAGGAAAAATCCACCAGAATGATCTTTCAATTCTTAACATCTATGTCCTAAATACAAAAACACCCAAGTTTTTAAAAGAAATACCATTGCAGTTTAAATCACTTATTGACCCTCACACACTCACAGTGGGAGACTTCAATACCCCAATGTCACCAAGGGACACGTCCTCCAGAAAAAATTAAGCAGAGAAATGCTAAACCTAATGTGTTATAAAAAATTGTAACAATTATTTACAGAATATTTTACCCAAATATTAAAGAATATACCTTTTCTTCTGCATCTCATGGGACTTTGTACAAAGTTGACCACATACTTAGATTCAAAGCAAGTCTCAACAGATACAAGAAAACTAAAGTAAATCCCTGTATCCTATCAGACCACAATGGATTAAAGCTGGATATCATCAACAACAGAAGCAACAAAAACCTTACAAACTCACTGAAACTGAACAAATCTCTATGGAATGAAAAGTGGGTCAAGGCAGAAATAAAGAAATTAAAGACTTCTAGAATTCAATGAAAATGATTATACTGCATACCCAAATTTGTGGGTTGCAATGAAAGCAGAATTAAGAAGAAAAGTCACAGCACTAAATGCCTATGTTAATTAAAAATTCAAATCAAAACAAAAGACAACTAGTGTTGGCATAAAAACATACAAGTAGATTGATGGAATTGGATTGATGCCCCAAACATAAATTCACACACCAATAGACATCCAGATTTTTATAAAGAAGTCAGAAAGACACAATTGAAAAGAGAAAACATCTTCAACAAATGGAGCTGGTCAAGCTGAATATCTTCATGTAGAAGAATGCTATTAGCTTCATACTTAGTACCCTCTATAAAACTCAAGTCCAAGTAGATCAAAGACACCAACATGAAATCAGATACACTGAACCTAATAGAAGAGAAGAGAAAATGGGAAGAATTTTGAACTCATTGGAGCAGAACAAAACTTTCTCAGTAGAACATGGATAGCACAGGCACTAACATAAAAAATAAAGGGGATCTCTTGAACTGAAAAGCTTCTGCAGGGCAAATGACATTGTCAATCTGACAAAACAGCAGCCTACAGAATAAGTAAAGATGTTGACCAACTCCACATCCAGTAGAGGAGTAACATCAAAAATATATAAAGAACTCAAGAAACTGGATATCAGAAAACAAATAATCCAATTTTAAAATGGGAGCTCAGATATAAACAGAGAATTTACAACAGAAGAATCTCAAATGGCTGAGAAACACTTAAAAAATTGTTCAACATTCTCAGTCATCAAGGAAATGCAAACAAAAACTCACTCATAGGTGGTTTTTAAACATAAAGCAAAGAAAACTAGCCTACAAACCACAATTCCATAGAACTTAAGACAACAATGAGAAAACTAAGAGAGATTTACATAGATCTAATCTACATGGGAAGTAGAGAAAGACAAGATCTCCTAAGTAAATTGGGAGCATGGGGACTTTGGGGGAGGGTTGAAGGAGGAAAAGGGAGAGGCAGGAAGGGGAGCAGAGAAAAATGTAGAGCTCAATAAAAAAAGGAAAAAACTACTTTGAAATTCCATCTCATACCTGACAGAATGCCCAAGATCAATAACATACATGATAGCTTATGGTGACAAGAATGTTGAACCAGAGGAACACTCTTCTATTACTGGTGGAAGTGCAACTTTTTATAGACACTATGGAAATCATTATAGCAGATCTTTAGAAAACTGGGATACGATCTACCTCAATATCCAGTTATACAACTCCTGGAAAGATACCCAAAGGACACTCCATTTTACCACAAGAACACTTGCTCAACCATGTTCATTATGGCTTCAATGATAATAGCCTAAAATGTGAAGTAACCTAGATGTCCCTTCACAGATGAATGAATAAAGAAACTGTGGTAGATTTACACAATGGAGTACTACTCAGCTGTTAAAAAATGACATTATGAAATTTGCAGGTAGATGGATAGAACTAGAAAGAATCATCTTAATGAGGGAACCCAGAAAAAATATGGTGTGTAATCACTTATAAAAGATTATTAGTCATTAAGCAGATCATAACCAAGGTTCAAGCCATCAACAAAGAGAGGTTAAGCAAAGAGGAAGTTCTCTGGGGGCAGTGCAGGGAACTCTCAAGGAGGAGGAAAGAAAATGGATTTTAGAGGTGGACTGGGGGTGGATGGGGACTGGA